CAATATATATAAATCAACAAAATAGCAAAATAACATAATAAATAAAGACAACGCCTCATACTGTTCCTGGCTTTGAATAGATATAGGAAGATGTGGTATGAGTGCCAATGAGACAACTCTCCATCCAAGTTACAATTTATAAAAGTAAACCATTATAGGTCAAGGTACGGCCTTCAACACGGAGCTTTGGCTCACACCGAACAGCAAGCTATAAAGGGCCCCAAAAAATTACTAGTGTAAAACCATTCAAACGGAAAACCCAACGGTCTAATCTATATAAAAACGAGAAACACTTATGAACTACATAAACAGACGACAACTACTGTAATCAGATTCCTGACTTAGGACAGGTACAAACATTTGCAGCGGGATTAAACGTTTTAATGGTACCAAACCTTCTCCCTTTTCTGAAACAATAGTATAACATCACAACATAGAAAAACACACTATAAAAAATCAATTGGAAGGCTTAACTCAATCAAAAATAGGTACATTTAAAGGTTGCGGAGTTTAACAGCTTTTTAAAAATTTAACCCAGTGGAATATATAAGTGTATGAAGAAGAACTGTCAGTTAAAAATACACATTTATAACCAGCCCGGTATGATAGACGAAAACAAGAACGCACCCGTTTACGTGAAAAGATATCCCTCTTGTACAAACTGAGAGAGAAAAAAAACCTCGAAGTATCGGCACACAGGAAATAGGTATCTGACAGACCAGAAAAGTGTTCACACGTTACAACTAATTGGTGTCAAGTTGTTGACCAAATATGAAGTCATTCTGTAAGGTAGTTTCTGAGAAAAGTTACAACAATATTATGTTTCGTAACATTTCATAAAGGTTTGGCAAATATTTTATACTATTTATCGTGTCACCAGCTTTTTAAATTTTGATGATTATATCGTTACTTTTGAAAAAAAAACTTGACAATACAACTGAACTCGACACCGTATTTGTACGGCGAGACTGATTGCACGACGTTGTTGCGATTTTAAAAACTTATTTCAACGTAATTTAGCGCCGTATTGTCAAATTAAAAAATCGAGGTTTATGACTTTTATTGAAGAAAAAATAACCACATGGACCCCTATTTTTGACTTTTGCAATCAATCAAGTACTGTTTCAATAACGCTCAGCCAAAATTTTAAGAAAAATGAACGATAGAGTTTATTCTGCACTTCTGTGTAGACGCAAACATATTCTCAACTTCTTTATTTCACTAATAGTAATATAAACTTTTGATACAATTGTCAGGTTAACGGTTAACCTTAAACTTGTTACAGCATGTTAATGCCATGGATCAAGGGAACAATATTACACCAAAAAAAGGGTTAAATTATGACTGATCGTTCAAAAGTATTTTTACTTTCATTAAAAGTCCTTAATTGTGAAATATCAGGGTTTTACCATCAAATATGCAAATTACGAACCAAAATATCTCAAAAAGTAAGTCATGAAGGTATATATTTTTTGTATTTTAAAAATTACAAATTAAAATTTACCGAGGCAGCCCGATATTCCGACACCGCATTAATCCGAAGAAACAGAAATGCTGCCTTGCAACAGGTTCGGCCGGGGGAGGGGGCACTTCGACGTGTTTGCGGTAGTGGTGAACATATGAGACAAGATGGACACGTACGTATTACGTGTTTCTGGTCAAATAGTGGTCATAGTGATTAACGTGAACACATGAAGCACCATTTTAAATCATGATTAATAGACTTTTTGACAGGTGAGCTAAAATGTAACATTAATGTCATTATTTTGAGAAGAAAGTCAGTTTAGTTTGTCTTTATGCACCAATGTTAAAACTAAATTGAGTGATTTATTTAAACTTAGTGTAAACATTATTTTATTGTGAAAATGATAACATCAACATGACAAATATGACAGTTTTATTAGGATTGGAAAACAAGTGAATTTTTACTTTCACAAATTCCTCTCCTATGAAAAGTTAATTCCTTGAACTCTAACGACAGTAGGAAAACAGAATTTTGTAAAGTTTGACGCGTTCTCCGTAAGGAATCTGCTTTGACTATACGAGTTCACAACAACAAAAAACGTGCTGGTAAATAGTAATAGCAAGTACATGCTTGTGTCAGGTGGCGTGGGTAGATAAAGTTATATATATATAAGTTATATAATATAATTATTTAGAATATAGCAAAGTGTTCTGGACCAATGAAATTGTAGGATTTGGTGTTTCTTAATTGTGAAGAATGAATGAAATCATGTTCGTAGTAAGAGATTATTCTATTGTTTAGGCCTACTTACAGTTCAAAACAAAGAGTTCCTATAAATGCCCCATAAGCACATTTATCAGCTTGAAAGAATTTGACAATGTGATTAAGTTGAATTTAGAGACAAACAAAAAAAATCAAAATATTATGAAGTTTACTGGTGCAGTGAGATTGGTACTGTTAACGTTATTATTAGAATACTAATAACTTCAAATTATTTAAAAAAAAAAAAAAAAAAAAAAAACAATATGAAAGCAATGCAAAAAACAAAAAAAAAAGTTTTAAAATTAGATAAAAACCTAAATCTTTAGCTTATACTCTTTCAAAAACTCAGATTACTGGATCTGCGGTTGGTGAGAATAGTAATTTCCAATATTGTGATAAAATTCTAAAGATAGGAATTTTAGTTTAACTTTTGAATATATTTTAAATGTTTGAAGGCATTGTATTTGAACATTTCCCTGACATAATGAAGTAGTATTTGATGTAAAGGACTGGACTAAAATATTGGCTGTAAAATAAAATTTAGTTGTAACTCAAATTTTTAATTTATTGATTTGAACTCAAAATAAACAAAAATATAATTCCTCACTAAAATATTACGTGATTTACATTCATACTCACAATCAGGAATCATTTCTTTTCATTTCATTGTACTATTGTGTCATCTAATGTCTATAACACAATCTATGATATTTTCCAAAATTATAAGAAAGTCCTTACATCACTAAAACTAATTCAAAATGAAATGCCTAAAAAGGAAGTCATCCATTTATTACAAACATTGCACTGACAATGAAACTTAGAATGTAGCACAGTGCTCTCGACCAATGAAATTGTCGGATTTGGTGTTTCTTAATTGTGAAGAATGAATGAAATCATGTTCTTAGTAAGGGATTATTCTATTGTGTATGCCTACTTACAGTTCAAAACAAAGAGTTTCTATAAATGAGTTACAAATGCCCCGAAGCACATTTATCAGCTTGAAAGAATTTGTGATTAAAACTGACTAAAAGTTGAATTTTGAAACAAACAAAAAAATCAAAATGAGATGAAGTTTACTGTGCAGTAACACTGGTACCGTTAATGTTATTATGAGAATATTAAAAACTTCAAATTAATAAAAAAAAAAAAAAAAACATATCAAAGCAATGCAAAAAAAAAAAAGAAAAAAAAAGTTTTAAAATTAAATAAAACCTACATCTTTAACTTCTACTCTTTCAAAAAATCTGATTACTGGATCCGCGGTTGGTGAGAATAGCAATTTACTTCCAATATTCTGATACAATGCATGGTATATTTGATGTTAATTAATCTACACTAAATCAATCTATTCATCTTTTGCCTTTACGGTACATGTACATCCTCATTTTATATATTCAATCTGGTCAAGTATAGGTTGTTTCATACCATGTAATGTCAAATTTCTAGGTTTGGATGATACACGAGCAAATGATTTTTTAGTGACCCCCTCCCTGTAGCCAGAGACATCAGTATAATCGTTCACACCGTCATTAACTCTACAACTCAGATGAACGATTTGAGCCATTTTAGTATGGAGTTTGGCCAGTTTATCAGTCACGACATACAGATGAATGCTTTGTTTAAAGGTACATAACTGAAGAACTAACTGTATACTTTATTCCGTTTGTTTTGACAAACTATGTAATGTTTTCGTCTTTGGAGTTACCGCCCGCTTAGTGTTTATCCGGCTGCACGGAGACAATTTTATTAGGCGGGGGATATGTAGTCCTCCCATGGTGAAGACAACCCTGCTGGATATACAAGACGGAAGATGAAGCCCCTTCTACTTATACCGTCAAATCATGCAGTCAATTTATCCTACAATTTGCTTGGGGTGATGAACTTATTATAAGTATTATGCCACACTTGCCAATTCATGCGATTCAAGCAGGAGAAGAGTTTAATGCTGTATTGATGCTTTTTCCTATTCGTTCGAACTCTGTCTCTAGCTTGATAGTATGACATCCTTGATGGAGCCCAACACACATTATTTAAGATGAAGAGGAAAGTCTGATTGACTTGTATTCAGAATGATGCATCCTGGTATGGTGAACATTCTCCTTGGTGACTGTGTCTTTGCACATTAGCATATTAAAAATCAGACCTAGAATAAGTTACTGTTAATACATGTATGCATGAATTGATTGACACTTGTCATTTCAGGGCCTTTCATAGCTTACTATGCGGTATTAGCTTTTTGCTCATTTTCGATGACATAAAGTTGTTAAATTCTGTGTCATTTGGTCTCTTGTGGAGAGTTAATTGTCTTATTGGCAATCATATCACATCTTCTTATTTTTATATAACTTAACATGTTTGACTTATCGTCCAGAATATTGCATGTAAGATCTGGCTAGACGTAAAAAACCATTCCATTCATCCACTTTTTAATTTTAATATTTGCAACTATCAAAAAGAATACAACAATCAACCATTTTTTATTCATATGCCAAGGAAGAGTGTTAAGGTGTTTCAAATATTTTCATAATTTTACAGGATTATGAGAAAAAAATTGAGTATTTGGAAGAGCGACAAAATTTTTTTTAAATCAAGATCCTTCTGAGTTACATAAAAAAATGGTTCATAGTTCTAAGGAGGGTTAACAAGTATTTACAAAAAAAAATCAAACTACATGTATACTGTTACAAATAACGTCCTCAACGGGCCCCTAATTCGTTCAATAAAATGTTGTTTTGTATTGTATTGTGTTAGGTTTTAACGACATTAGTGTGCATGAAAGAAGTCGAATATTCCGGGAAACTCATTGCGTGTACGAAGCAAGGTCATATAAATTTTATTTAATCATTGTCACGCATTTCCAATTTTAATATTACATATACATTACTACAATTTTAATATTAATCTGTAGTTGTAGCATATGTTTATTTTTTATTTTTGAAGAATTGTGAAGAATTACTATGTCAATGTTGGGATTGACAGCACTGTTTAGTGTGTTAGTTGGTATTTCGTACGGATGGGGTGATGTAATTATTTACGACAAATCAGCACAGGTATGTTTTTATGGTATTTTAATTCAGAGTTAACAGTCATGTATTTTCCTACAAATGTTCGCTGCGTAAATTACAAATAACTACATGTTCCCAAATTCAAAATAAATACATGTTCACAAATCCAAAATAACTACATGTTCACGAATTGAAAATAAATACTTGTTCAAAAATTCAAACAAAACTCTGTGTTGTTAAATGACAGCCTTTTCAGTCGATATTAAAAATATGAAAAATAACGATATGTGTGTATGTATATCTGTTTTTGAAATGCAAGTATATAAAAAGTACAGTGTTTGGCTGGAAAACGGTGTCTCATGAGCAAACATCAACGTTGAACTGTACAAACACGAAACTCCAAAAACAGAAATTTTGTCACGGTATTTTTCTTTTCAAAATCCATGTATTTAGTTTTGATGTTATATTTGTTATTCTCATCGGATTTTGTCAAATGTCTTATCGTTTGTAGTTGTAAATTTTATTTTTTTTCTGTTCTATTCTTGTGTTACGGTAAAGATAATTAATCACCCAGTTCATTTATAAGATTTAAGTTTGGGCGAACTAAATTTATACGATGTATTTGGTTTACAGTTTGATTTAGAAGAAATACCGACATAGCTTGATAATACAATTAATTATCTAATTACTACCACAATTTTATATTAATAAGTATTGTAATTTTCATTGTTATTAATACATGTTATATCAGTATTACAAACCTTATCTTGTACTCTATCCTATTTTTTGGAAATTTATAGAAATTTAAATGTGACGTCACATTGTGCGTCGATTTCTTCGGCTAACATATAATACGTTGTTCAGCTGTGCCTTTTTTATGTGCTGATTTAGGTTGTTTACGTATTCATTTTTATTCTGTAGTTAGTCACCTCATCGGTGTTAACATTTATATCTATTATATAGTCATTTTTATAAATTTACTGTTTGCAAAAGTATGAATTATTCTAAATACTAAGGATTTTCTTATCCCAGACATATAACCTTAGCCGTATTTGGACAACTTTTTGGAACTTTTGGTCCTCAATGCTCTTCATCTTTGTACTTGTTTTGGCTTTCGAACTTTTTTGATCTGAGCGTCACTGGTGGGTCTTGTGCAGACGAAACGCGCGTCTGGCATATTAAATCATAAGCCTGGTACCTTTTGTTAGCTATTATGTGTGTGTGTCTCTGTCCTGTATGTTCTCCCATTTATTTGTATTGTAGTCCTGTCATGTAATGTTGTCATTATAATGTTATATTTAACATTGCCATAAAAGCAGGAGGTTTGGCTAGCCACAAAACCAGGTTCAACCCACCATTTTGTTCTTATAAATGTCCTTTACCAAGTCAGGAAATGGCAATTGTTATCGTATAGTTTGTTTCTGTGTATGTTGCATTGTCGTTTGTTGTTTGTTCACATCAGTGTTTCTGTTGTTTCGTTGTCCAAATGTACTATATTGTATTCTTTATTTGCGTAATTCTCTGTCTGTAATGTTGTACTGTATTCATGTCATGTAATGGTGTCATTTTAGTGTTATATTTAACATTGCCATAAAAGTGCGAGGTATGGCTAGCCACAAAACCAGGTTCAACCCACCATTTTTTCTTAAAATGTCCTGTACCAAGTCAGGAAAATGGCCATTGTTATATTATAGTTCGTTTCTGTGTTTGTTGCATTTTAGTGTTGAGTTCCTGTTGTGTGGTTGTTCTCCTCTTATATTTGATGTGTTTCCCTAAGTTTTATTTAGTTTGTAACCCGGATTTGTTTTTTTTCTCAATCGATTTATGAATTTCGAATAACGGTATACTACTGTTGTCTTTAAGAAACTGATTCTTAAAGTGTATTTGAGATGCATACAAACGAAAGTATACCAACATGTAAACGTCTATTTGTGGTATACTTGCCCTTTTTGTTATTTTTGCCTGTTTTTTTCTATATCTTAATCAAAATGTTAATTTGTCGACATATACCAAGATATTTTTTGGAAATCAAGGCATTGATAACAAAATCTTTTGTTAACAAAACTAGTGATATTTCGACCGCATTGATGCTCATTTTTCTTTATCATCCATTCACTTGTAAATGAACGTTAGTCCAAAATGGCTATTTTGATCTGTTCAGATCAAGATAACCGTTTCAGATCAAAATAGATTCACTGATGAACGTGTTAAATCTCCATTTAAGTATATATTAATTTAAACTTGTGTATGTGTGGAAAAAAATTGAAACACTATGTAAAAATATATTAAGATTCATACCTAAATATATATATCAAATGATCTTACTTTAATCTATAAATACTCATTTTGTGTTTCAGGCTAAATGTAGTGAGATCACACGAAGAGCAACTAGGGACTGCAGGTGGCCCGCGGGACTAAATATGCAAGTGGATCAGGTCGCAGCTGGGGGGAAGATTGCTGCATACAAAATCCAATGGTTTAATGGTCATTGGAGTGGTTGGTACGTTCCAGGGTACAACGACATGGACGGAAAATTCAACCTATCCAGCAGAAGATGTTCAATGCCATTCAAAAAGAAAAGTCTAAGACGAATGTGGTCTTATTTCTATGATCATACGCACAAATTTATAGTGTGCAAGGCTTAAAAATGCTTGATAGAAAAAATATAATAAAAGAAATATATAATGATTACTATTATTTATTCATTTGAATACATCTTATATTGATTGTTTCTTCATTTTCAGTCAATCCTTTCCGACATAAGTTGACCTTCGAATATTGCAAAAATGAAGATTGAATATAAAAGCTTAATAATGTTTACCTTATGTTGAAAGAAAAGAAGTGGCATGTCCAATGGGTCCTTTAAAAAGTATGTTGTCCACATCTCCCACCTTGCTTGGATGGGAAATGACAAAATCCATCGAAGTTTATAGTGTAACTGAGAAAAACATGACATATACCTATATAGGAAGCTATAATTAGTCCTGGGATGACAAGAATATTAGTAACTGAATTCCCGTCTAGAGCACATGCGTTCGGTTTTTGTGTAGTTTTTTGTTGACTGTTGTTTATTTTTTCGTCTTTTTTCTCGGGCCATATTGATGTAAGTCAAGGAATACCAACGTACTGATTATCACCTAGCGCAGTTTCCTTATTTCAGCATAATTTATATTTTCGATAAACAGATTACAGCCGATTCCAATGAGTGTGTAGCTAAAGGTAATATCTTTGGTTAGCTTGCTTGCTAGCTGAACCGTGAAGTCATTGTTAGGTAAGGTATACTACCCTCCTTCCGAAATAGCCTAGTCCTACAGACAGATAGATTGGTTATCTGTCGGACTAGTCTACTCTTAATAGAGGGTAGTTTACCTAACCTAACAATGACTTCACGGTTCAGCTAGCAAGCAAGCTAACCAAAGATATTACCTTTGCCTACACACTCATTGAAATCGGCTATAACTGTTTATAATAACACATGTCTTTAATAATTTCTATTTTCGAGAATAAGCGAAACAAAGTGGAAAAAGTTAAATCACAAAAATACTGAACTCCGAAAACAATCCAAAACGGAAAGTCCCTAATCAAATGGCAAAATAAAAGCACAAACACATCAAACGAATGGACAACAACTGTCATATTCTTGACTTGGTACAAGCTTGGTAGAAAGCGTGTTTGACGTCAGAATGTAAACGTCACACAGGTAGAGATATAAAATCATATACTTGTATGTGCATCCTGTATTGATTCGTTCCAGTTTAAATCAAAATTTCTAGCTTTTTTTTTTACTTAAAGGGGCATTAGCTTCGATTGAGACTAACAATTATCATTTTTTGTCTCAAACATTTATAAAAGTGGAATATTGAAATACCTTTTCGCTTTTAGCTGATAGCTTGGTTCAATTTGTCAAAATAAGCTCAAAAACATTGACAATGTTTTGTCGGCTTGTAAGTCAAATATATAACTCATTTGAATAGGTATTGATGCACCCTTTAATTTGACCCCGTGTTATGTATGTGCTAACCTTATTATTAAAAAGTAAAGAATTTCAATATTGAAAAATGAAGCAAGGAAGCCACTTGGAAAAACAGTTTGATGTATTTGGGCTTTTGATTTTGCCATTTGACAAGTGACTTTCTGTTTTGAATTATCCTTGGAGTTCGGTATTATTATTATTTTACTTTTTAGTTTACTGATTCGTCCCACAAACTATCATTCATATGTAGGCAAAAGAGAGGCGAAAGATACCAAAGGGATAATTAAACTCGTAAGTCCAAAACGAACCGGCAATACCATGGCGAAAACAAAAAACGACCAAAAGACAAACAACAGTATACACAAATTAAAAAACTAAAGATTGACTAACAAGAACCCCATCAAAAAACCGTGGCTGATCTCAGGTGCTCCGGAAGGGTAAGCAGATCCTACTCCACATGTGACACCCGGCATGTTGCTCATGTAAATACAAACCTGTTGATAAGCTCAACTCGGTATGTCTCATTCGAGTAAAAGAGGACGGGAATGTGGTTACGACATTTGGAACATAATCGTCATCATCTGTAATACGAGGATTTACATTTAAACAAAATCTATAACATGAAGTCAAATTAACCCCGAAAAATCGACATTTCACTTTTGCACGTGCATGTCTGTCTTTTTATATTGATATGTTTGCTTATATATGTTTATATGACAGTCGGCAGCCTTCGGACGTCATTTCGATGGTTTATTAGATGGCGTCCGGTCTAAATTACAGACGAAATGCTGATATTAAATACCAAGTTCATGCATTGTAAATTGTCTCTTTTTATACTTTTTGTAATTTGAATATACCTTTCATTATATTGTAAATACAATCTGAGCATAAAAGTCGAACCGGTGATCATGAATTTGACAGCTAATATCCCTTTAAATTACAGTTATTTTCTTATTCGTTGCCTCAAACGCAAATAAAGTATTTATGAACATAAACTTAAACACATATCTATGAGAAACAGCTCGCCTAGACGAATGAGCAAAAGTGTTCTTTTTTATTCTACCAAAAATAAATGTCTTCAAATCACTTTACAAACACACTCTGACAGGCGAAAAATGCCGCTGGGTACCTCTAGCCAATGTAGAATATACACACATACAGAAAAATGCACAGTAAAACTCAGCAAAATATCGATGATAAACATAAATTAACCAAGGGTTACTGCCAGCTCCAGACCTCAATTGAACTTAAAATTAAATGATTGACTGATTGGCTGTTGTTTGCTTTACGTCCATTTGCAAATATTGTATGCATGTTAAGCCAGTAAATATAATAGGTAGTTTCTGCAAAATAGATCGACCTGGATGAAGGGCGGGATATATAGACTACCCCTGGAAATAAAAGTTTGTTGGATAAGGCGGACCCTCAAAGAGTTGGTGCAATGATTCGCTTACGTGCTCTACATGCAGTGGTAGTAAAACTCTACATACAATGTTTTGAAAGAAAAAGTAAAATAACAAAAAAACCGAACTCCAAGGAAAATTCAAAACGGAAAGTCCCTTATCAAATGGCAAAATCAAAAGCTCAACATATTGCACATCAAACGGACGCCCACTTTGGCAAATATTTTCCTAACGGTTGAAAGAAGACCCAAGTTACCGCATGGCTATACCACAGTCCCCCTGGGGCGTTTACACGAAGTCAAAAGTATTGAAAACCAATAATGCAAAAAACGTCATAGAATATCAATGTCCGATGGTTGAAAGACACAATGTTTCAAATAATTCGACACAAAGGTACTGATTTCTCTGGTAATTGCCTCGGGGACGAAACGTCTATCATCAGTTATATAGACATATAGTTGTTGTACAAACTCATCAAAGATATCAGGCTTATAATTTTAAACGCTAGACTCGCTTTTTGTATAGATAAGATAAAAGCGGCGCTCAAATCAAATCAGGTGAAAGACGAGATTAAACACGAACTTGAGGACTATTAAAAAACCAATAAATCCGAAAATTTATGCAAAATACAGGTACTGTTATCTATTTAGAAAAACTTAGGTTATTAAATAAAAATTTATTTTACCGTTGATGAGCATATGTCATGTCAACACAAATGTTGACTACTTGGTTGAAGATACCATTTGGGACGAAACGTGAACCAGCAATAGCATTGTCCTGCAGCCGGTTGTACGAACGTTGCATTAGCCTAATGGGTCATTAAGTCTTCATTACCTTAAGCCTTTATGATGCATTAGGCTAATGAAGACTTAATGACTCATTAGCCTAATGACACGTTCGTACAACTGGCTGCTGGTATATTTTAACAACTCACCACAGATGTTTATAATTTGTCTTAGGCCTCGGTGGCCGAATGGTCTAAGCAGCCGAACTACTGTATCACTAGCCAGTCAACACTGAGGTTGTGAGTTCGAATCCCGCACGGGGCAGATGCATTCGTTTCCAATCTCAATTGACTAGGATTGTCAGTTTTCCTACCAAAGGTCGGTTGTTCTCTCCTGACACTCCGGCTTCCTCCACCAATAAAAACTGACCGCCACGAAATAGCACAATAAAAGTTAGAAGTGGCGTTAAACACCAATCAATCAATCAATATAATTGGTCCGCTATTTAAGAAGCTTAGTTTGGATAAGACATTATAACAAACCAAAAACATTCATGTTACTGGAGAAGCTATTTATATTGTTAATTTGCATTTGATATGTCTTTCTAAATCAGATTTCGTCTCAGGTGGATTTTGTAATTTCCCACCAACCACGGTGGAATAACTGGACGAAGATATTTTAGAAGTCCCCTGTACTGATCCATTAGAAAACACGTGTAATTTCTTTTATACTTTAAAACCTGCATGTACGATACACGGGGAATATTGTTAAGTTACTGTATTCTGCACATATATTTATATGATGAATTTGATTTGGCGGGGATAGGATGGCCTCGGTTGGCACACAGAAATGACAAAATCATAACCAATGGTTATGTTAATAAATGAATAAAAGATGTCTTTAATTTCTTTTATTATTCATCTATTCTACCCTGCACTTTTAATCCTTGCACACTATAAACATGTGTTCATGATCATAAAAATAAGACCACATTCGTCGACGATTAAAATTGAGAATGGAAATGGGGAATGTGTCAAAGAGACAACAACCCGACCATAGAGCAGACAACAGCCGAAGACCACCAATGGGTCTTCAATGCAGCGAGAAACTCCCGCACCCGAAGGCGTCCTTCAGCTGGCCCCTAAACAAATATGTATACTAGTTCAGTGATGAGAGACGTCATACTAAACTCCAAATTATACACAGGAAACTAAAATTAAAAATGATACAAGACTAACAAAGGCCAGAGGCTCCTGACTTGGGACAGGTGCAAAAATGCGGCGGGGTTAAACATATTTTTGAGATCTCAACCCTCCCCCTATACCTCTAGCCAATGTAAAAAAAACAAACGCGCAACAGTACGTACAGTAAAACTCAGTATAAGAGAAGTCCGAGTCCGATGTCAGAATAGGAAACAAAAGAAAATAAACAAAATGACAATAATACATAAATAACAACAGACTACTAGCAGTTACTGACATGCCAGCTCCAGACCTCAATTAAACTGATTAAAAGATTATGTCTTCATCATATTGTTTTCTTTGAACGGCATTGGACAGCTTCTTCTGTTAAGGTTAAATTTCCCGT